TTCACTGCATCTCGATAGGCCAAACTACCAGCAATGGCTGGAACTACGCCCATGGATGCGACTACGCTGGATGTCATGCCGATGGAGGTTACTACATCAGCGCCAGAGACTACTCTGCCCGTCGAACAACAGGCTGGCAGTCTTGGCACACCTCACTACAACTGAGAACAACATCCCCGACACTTCTGCGATCGACCCGGAGCAGAACTACTTCAGGGTCTACGCGGCTTTGACGCTCGAGGAGTTCCAACTACTAAGTCAACAACAAACTACACCCATCCCCGAGCTCAACTACAACCTACCAGTTCACGACCTACCTTCAGACCTACGAATGCCACACTACGACTCACTACCTCTTCACCTACGTCTTTCAGAGGCAGTCAACTTCTACTACTACAACCTTACATCACTACACCTCACAACCCAGTACACCAACTCGATGGTCATCATCCAACTACACATTCCACCAGAAGTTCTACTACGATTTGTCAGCGCTGGACAACTCGTCAACTTCTGCCGCGACTACGTGAGCCACATGATTTCCATCAAAGATGAGCACCACCTACCTACACGCCAGCTACATCAACGACTACACCGAATCACCTACAACTTGGACCAGATCACCACTACATTCAACCTGTCCAACAACTTCATTTGGAACTATCACATGCCCCTGTACCTACCAGAACTACTCAACTACTTCGACCAACCACAACAACTTCAAGACCACCACTACAAGTCCATCAACACGATGCTACACAAAAGTGTCACCTACTACGGCATCACCCTCCTCACGGCTACAAATCTTTCCATGCAACACAAACTACTACTCCACAACTACCTCACTACCACCGGCCAAGCACTTGCACCACCGGAATGCGACTACAACCGCCTTCGTGGCGGTCCAGACTTCCTCAACACATTCACTACCAACCACTATGCAGGCTTGGACTACCGCATCAGCCAAGTCCAGAACTACCGAGTCCAACACTGGACTAAGCACACCTGATCTCCAGGTGGAGCTGCAACTACGTGCTGTACTACGTCATCGTACTACGAGATGACTGAGAGCCATTTAGGGTTCTTGTACAGCAATTTCACTTTTCTGATCATTTGAAGGTTAGTTGAACTACAGACAGCAGCGCTGTAGATACCTACCTTCGGTCATCTTTTTTAAGAGACTACATGCCTGTTCGCTACAGTAGCATCGGCAAACAACATGTGCATTCGTTTTTGCCACTACTGTCAATACCACCTTTTGGGTCTATGGTTAAAGGACACTACAAGGTCTTTTAACCAAGGGGCCGTGTCAAATATCATGTTGCACTACTTGTCACTTGTGCATGCATGATGTACACTACCCGACTGCAGGCCTTGAGTCTACTAGGAAAAGAGTGCATGCTGGCTGACTACATTTGTGTTTGTGATAACTGAACAACACTTGCACTAGAAGTAAAGTATCAACGTATTTTAACGTCGTTATGTATGTCTATTTCTCTCCGCGTCACTCTGCGTCTCTCTCCATGTCCCTGCGTGTCTCGGTCTCTCTGTTTCTCTGTCTCTCTGTTTCTCTGTCTCCCTGTCTCTCACTGTCTCCGTCTCTGCCTGTCTGTGTGTCTGTGTCTGTCTCCATCTCCATCTCCATCTCTGTCTCTGTCTCTGTCTCTGTCTCGTTCTCTGTCTCTATCTTTGTCTCTGTGTAATTGTCTCTGTCTGTCTCTGTCTGAATCTGTCTGCTGCTTTCTGCCTCTCTCGGCTGTCTGTCTGCCTCTCTTTTTCTGTCTCTCCGTGTCTCTGTCTCTTTGTCTTTCTGCCTGCCTGACTGACTGAGTTGACTCTTACTTCTATCTCTTTGCTAAGGCTTGAGTATTCCCTTGCCCTGAAGGCAACGAAGGCTTGGAACCCCTGGGAAGAAGGGCTGTTCAAGGTCCTTCAAGAAGCCAAGCAGCCGGGATGTTACATCTGGGACGCAAACACGAACCCCTGCAACGCTGAGAGATTGAAAGCGACACTGCAGCTGGCTCGACTGGAGATAGAACCTTGCGAAGACTCACCTGGGCCTCCTGGCTGGTTTGGCCCCACCGCCCCATGCACCGCCAGAGTTCCTGGCGGTTGGATCAGGGTGCGGCCGGCAGCAGTGATTGCACAGTGCAGCTTACATCAAGCTATCAACCCCCTAAAAGCCTGACAGTCCCCTCCGCACAGCGGGTCAGATCATCATCATCCTCATAATCGTCGTCATCATCCATCATCGTCATCATGATCAACATCCTCATCATCCTCATCATCCCTATCATCATCGTCATCATCGTCATCATCGTCATCATCCCTGTCATCATCCCTGTCATCATCGTCATCATCGTCATCATCGTCATCATGATCATCTTCCTCATCATCATCATCATCCTCATCCTCATCCTCATCATCATGATCATCATCGTCATCATCGTCATCATGATCATGATCATGATCATGATCATCATCATGATCATCATCATCATCATCATCATCATCATCATCATCATCATCATCATCGTCCTCATCATCATCATCATCGTCGTCATCATCGTCATCATCGTCATCATCGTCATCATGATCATCTTCCTCATCATCCTCATCATCATCATCATCATCATCATCCTCATCATCATCATCATCATCATCATCATCATCATGATCATCATCGTCATCATCACCAAAATGAAGATGCGCAGTCTTTGGGCTGTCCATGACAAACATGGCTTACAAAGAATCGCACCATCCCACTCTGCCGGACCCTTCTTGATCAGGTTGCAGGGGAAATGCAAAGGCACACCCGTCAAGAGCCGCTTGCGTGTCCCCAAAAAACATCGCCTCTCAAGCACACCATGCCACCATGGACACAAGAACATAATGTCGCGTGTTGCCGTGGCTTGCAGACCAACGAAGCCAGGCTGGCAAGTCCGAAAAATTTTGTACGTCCTTCTTGCCAGTCCTCGGCATGCGAGTCATCAATCAACCTTTGGGCAGCATGATCTTCATTTGCTTGTCATTCCAATTCGGCCTAACAAGGAACAGGCGTAGGCCATAGCCGAGAGGCACCTGGCTGAAACATATGAACAGCTGATCAAAAAGATGCGTCCTCACACAGTTATCCAGGTGGATAACTGGCTTTTGGAAGGTCGTCGTGCACCAAGCTCTGCCGATTGTCGCCCTACATACGCCTATGCTACACGCGTAGAGGGCAAAAATCCGAAAGAGTTCTCCTCATATCGTGCCACACGTCTGAGCCAGCTGCTGCTTCTGGTTCTTGTATTCCTCCATTACGTCCTGCAGAGTAACAGCGGCGCTTGCCCTCCACATTGCACAAAAAGAGCCCTATGCGGATGCTGGTGAGCAAATCAAGTGCAAAGCGCAACATACATCAGGCATGAGAGTGACAACGGTGATCCAGACAGTGTAAAAATGGCAGTACTAACCAACACCGGAGGAGCACTACAGCTAGATGGATTCAAGATCTAGCAGCATTGGATATGGACAACTTGTGGCGAAACGGAAACTACACAGCAAGACCACACAAAGCAAACTACAAAGGACGACACAGGCAAGGTAGAGGAAAAAAAAGCACCCTGACTATTCAAAGAAAACTACGGCAAAGACGGCACAGGAGGGGAAGGAAACTGCGAGAGATAGCGAGGAGGTCGAGCTACATGGCAGAGCACACCAACATGACAAGCAGCAGTAGCAGCAAGAGGGCACCACCGCAAGAGGCCACCACCGCAAGAGGCCACCACCCACCTCAGTAGACTACTTCGAGTAGCCCCACTTCATGGACTGAAGCACTGTACATCAGGGTGTTTCGGCTGCGCAAATAGATCACTACAGCAGCTGGCAGTTTGGTTCATGCTGTGATAACACTACATCATTCCTGACACAGCAATTGCACTTGTAGTTCAAGAGCCAGAGAGGAAAAGAGAGACTTGATCCCACACGAAAAACCGAAGAAAGAGGACAAAAACCGAAGAAAGAGGGAGAAGGAAAAAAAGGAGAAAAAAAAGCGCACGCACCCTTCCCACGGCGAGTTGGCCGTTTGCTCGGCCGCTTCGGTGCCTGGAACCTTTTGGAGATGAAGGCGGACGCCGCGTTGGCGTCAAACCTCTGCGCCTCCCGCAGAAGCCAAACGGACGGAAGTCCAGGGGCTGCCTTGGGAGTTGATAGGACCCTTTGGTGGACATCATTAGGTGGGGATTCATGTCCACCAACCACTTTGGAGGTGATTCCCTATTAAAATGTATGGCCATGTGAATCTCATGACACCAGTTCTAAAATGGGTGGTGCACCTACCCCACAATGGTACCATTGGTTTTGACCCACAGCCAAATGAATCTCACGACACCAGAACCCAGCGGCCTCAGTTTGCTCTTAAAGACTCAAGACAAATCGAGCCGCGGGCTCAGGATAGCCGACTCCCAAAGAGTTGGTGAACAGTTCAAACCTCAAATGCAAAGACAAGTGTCACCAGTGTACCTGTAGAGTGGGCCTGGCTAAAAGGGCAGATGAATGCTCCCTCGAATCAAACGTGCGCTCAAAGCAGAATCAAATTGCCTGAGCTTGCACAACACCAATCGTGCGGCTGTCCATCCTTGCCAACTTGCCCGCACCTCATCGGAGAGCGTTTTGGGAGGCAAGGCCTGGCCGGGGATGAGAGAATCTCCGAACACCGTGGCTGCAAATTTCACCTCACTCAGGTGTCCTTGCCACCCGAAGCCGTCGATTCCTTCGCTTTCACAACGACAAACACACTGCTTGTAGCCTTGGACCAGATCTAGATAGGTTCCGGATTACAATTTTCGAGGCGCAATTTGATTCTTGGTACAGCCGTGGACTGGAAACAAGTTGTCAAACCCTCGCAGATTCTTGCAAAAGGCTACATACTTCACAAATACATAGACATTCTTTGGAGTCCATGGTACCATGGAACCCTCACACCACCAATCTGCTACAGCGCCCCTTTTTGGATGACTCGTTTCACGCGATTTGAGCCGTCCAAAGGTGCACACTGTTGTCGTAGAAGGAGGCGCTGGCTGCCATGTAGGGCCGACTCTCGCTGAACCTACGCGCACAAGGCTCACGGCCAAGGCTCGAGCGAGCCCACAGTCTCACGGGCACAGGACAGCACGCCACAGGGGGCCAAAACCCAAATCCACGTTGACGGGAATGCTTCTGATCCTGGCAGCTCCCGCTGAACATGAATCAGCCTACCTTTACGTCCAAGCTGTCTTTGGCCGTCGATGTACTGTCCGGATGCCGTTTCGACAAAAGCGGGCAAGGGACCTTTGAAGGTTTTGAGAGAGACTGCATGAATTCCTCTGTCATGCGCTCTGAGGGTGTGGGGTGGGAGTGAGGGCGGCGGTGAGGCGGGGCAGCGGGTCCCAGAATGTTGACCCCGGATTAATAAACCCCTGTTTATTAATGGGGTGTTCCCTGGTTTTAGTGGGGATCCATCACATTTGGAGGGGAACACCCCCATATTGATAAACAGGGGGTTATTAATCTGGGGTCCCCGAATCATTTTGAAAACCCGGTAACGTGTGCGACAACAGTCGTTGACTCCTACATGCCTCTCACGCTAGCTAACTGCACATGCTGCTTTGTTCTTCTCTGCTTGTTCTGCATTCTCGTGTTTGGCGATGGCACTGGGGCGTCCGTCCCACGAAGGAACCCTAGGTAGCCACCTGAAGGGGGTTTTGTTCTCTGGCTTTCCACGAGCTAAATTTCAGAGCTGAGGCAACAGCCAGCCCCCAGCCATTTGCTTCCAGGCACTGCCAGCTGATGCCATAACCCAGCGAGCCATGGCAGCCCTCCTCCGCATCTTCGCAGTAGGCGTCAGCCTTCTCGAAGCCGCCCTGGGATTTTCATCACCCTTTTAAATTGGCTGTGGGTCAAAAATGGGTACCCAAAATGCAACCCTCCATGACTAAAACAGGCGGTCCCCTGGTGGTTTAAATTTTGACCCACACCCAATTCCCTCAAAAGCCCGAGTCAGACCCAACAAGTTACCAAGTCCAAAAGGCTCACCTGAGGGAGTGCAGCGGATGTGGAAGAATTAAGACACTTTACTGCGCATGTGCTTTGCTGTCTCCTCCCCTTTTGGGTCAATAGATTGAATTTGGGCTCACATCAGACCGAGCAAAAGGAGGTTCGTTGTGCGCAGTCTGCTGCGCACGGGTGTTGAGTTGCATCCACTCATGTGCATACATGTGATATAACACTACATGTCGGTATCGAGTGTTGAGGCTCTGTACGTCAGCCAGGAACAAAGTAGCGCGCACAACTGTCGCGTGCTGACCAAAAACAACGCATACAACATAGAGACAGTACACGTGACTTGTGGAAAACAGGTTTCATAGTTGTTCGTGAGTGCGCTTGTGCTCATGCGCGCGCGAGTGCGGGCACGCGTGCGAGCGCACGTGCGCGGGGGCGAGGGCGCGTGGGAGAATAAGGCGCGCGCGTGTGCGTGCGGGTGCGTGGGTGCGTGGGTGCGTGGGTGCGTGGGTGCGTGGGTGCGTGGGTGCGTGGGTGCGTGGGTGCGTGGGTGCGTGGGTGCGTGGGTGGGTGGGTGCGTGGGTGCGTGGGTGCGTGGGTTGGGTTGGTGGGTTGGCGTGTGTGAGCAGCGCACGTGGGACGTGAATTCCAGTCCAATTATAGATATTACATCCTGTAAGGTTAAATAGAATTATGATATTTGCAAAGATTAATAACATAGAAATATTACTAAGAAAACAAACTGAATCTGATATAACTTCTAAAATGTCATGATTTCCAAAAAAAGGAATTATAAAGAAGAAGTAAAGAGAAATAGAAAAGTGTCTTTATGGAAAGGCGGCTTGAATAATTCCTGGGTTTTAATGTCAGGATACTTAGTTTTTGCCTTTCCATTTATAACTCAAACTTATGATCTACCATTTTTAAAAAGTGTAAATGTGGTGCTCAAGAGATAAGAAATAGCGGGTTAATGGACGTTCCTTTTATAATCCACGTTCCTCTTCTTTCCATCTACCATCTCTATCTTCTAAAATTGAAACAAAAATAAAAAATGAAGATAAGATCAGGGATAAAGAAGGAAAAATAATCTTTAGAAATCCAGACTTATATTATTTCTATCCTATTATGTTACTATATTGTGTCATTCACTAATGAAAAAAAGGTAATCATAAAGACTTAGGAATCTATTATTTATTATCTGGATTCATCTTTGGAATCTCCGGTACATTGGTATCAGTCCTTATAAGAATAGAATTATATTCACCAGGAAACAGGAGTATATCTCCAGAAAACCAGAACTTCTATAATGCAAGCATTACATTGCATGGCTTTCTTATGTCTTCTGTTTGGCAATGCCTGGCTTGTTTGGAGGGTTTGGAAACTACTTTGTACCTATCTTTCAAGAATCTCCAGAAGTGGTATATCCTGGAGTCAATAAGTCTTCTATTGAATCTGCATTATTTTACTTTCATATATTTTCCTAATCATGTCTTTTCTCTCAGAATTTGGAGGTGGTACGGGATGGACATCATATCTAGAATTGTCCACTTCGTGTATGACTTTATCACCTTCAAGTCCAGGAAATCTTATATCAGGATTATTAACCTCTGGTATGTCTTCATGGCTTACATCTCTTAACTTTTGGACAACACTTCCAAATCTGAGGTATTACTATCTTATATTAAAGACTACCCCTATGTCCTTTCTCTTTCTTGATTACCGCTCTCATGTTTCCATTAACATTACCTATCTTATCGTATCTGGTACACTTCTTTTAAGCCCAATCAAACAAAACTCAAAATGGTTCAAGTGTGTGTGAACAGCTCATGTACTTTACTACGTCTGTATATATCTATATATCTATATATGTATATACGCTTATACTTCCATGTGGCTGAGGTGTTTTTTTAGCATAGCCCTGGCATTAGCCTAACCCTGGCACAGCCTCGCGTGCACGAAAGGAGACACTAAGGGACAAAACTTTGGGGTGGGCTTAGGGTAGGTTTGGGGTAGTCTGTTTAGGGTAGGTAAAGGCCCGGCATCGTTTTATTGTCCTCAGCATTGTTTTCAACATCCTCAGCATCACCGGGCTTTTGTTGTTTAGGCTGGGTTTAGGGTGGGTTCTAGGTTGGCTCAGGGTTGGCTCCAGGTGGGTTCCAAACCTATTAAGAGCAAATTTGGGGGGTGGCTGCGCTTGCGGCAGATGGTTCAGTGCTGGTTTATGGTGGGGCTTCTTGGGGTTGGTCTCGGGTGGGTTTAGGGCTGGTTTCGGGTGGGTTTAAAATTGGACTTCGGCCACGGTTGTGTTTAAGCCCACTTGGGTGGTTTAAGGTAGGTGGCACCCAACCAACCAACCAACCAACCAACCAACCAACCAACCAACCAACCAACCAACCAACCAACCAACCACCTGCCAGGGTTAGCCCTGTGCCAGGGCTAGGGAAAAAAGAAACTTTCACTCAACCTGGTTCAGGTGCGTATGAACAGCTCATGTACTTTGATACGTCTGTGTATATGTATATGCATATACTTCCATGTGTTTGTACAAAAACAGAGGAACGCTGATCTTATACAGGCTGCACACCAAGCCAGCCACCAGGCAACCCAGGAAGGCAGGCCAGGCAGAGACGACTCTTGACAATGCCGTGAGTATCCACCGCGGAGACAAACAAAATAGGAAGCAACAAGACACCTGCTCAAGATGAAGCGTCGACGAGATGATCTAGAGGTGTGACCAGTCCGGTCACTGGCAAGTCAGCAAGTTCAAACTACACAATGAAGGCTCGTAGAAAAGAGCCCCACCATGTTGGTTGTTGCGAGACAAAGGACATCAATCTGTAACCGCTGCCATCCACTGCACGTGAGAAAAATATCATGTCATGCAACCTTATCAGATGTTCTGAAATGAATCGAGCGATTGCAGGTTTGCCGCCTTGACATTGCGAAAGAGTGCCATCATCTCAACGGCTCCGAGCCCCGCGCCCGCACCCAGAAGATGGGGAAGCCCCGGCGCATTGCTGCCACAGCCACCAGGCCAGGGCAAAACGGGTGCCAACCTGCTCGAGATGGCCAGTTCCCATACATTGCAATCCAAGTGATCAACTTGTGCCCATGCGCTTCTCCGGCTTGCGCTGATGTCTTTTGGCCATGGATCAAAGGCCCGTACCCCCACTAAAATAGGTTCTAAAATGGGTGGTACCATTGGTTTTGACCCACAGCCATTTGGTGTGGGAAATCAATCTTACAGGCGTCCGGAATCCTAAGGGCTCTGAGAAGGAACTCAGCTTCCAATGTCCGAGCTGCTCAGCTGATAGGCACCGTCCCCCAAGCGCTCGCTGCTGGCCAGCGGCGATTTCATCTGCCGCAGGTCGAAGAGCCTCTGACGCCAGTGCTGACTTTCCATCAAGTGTGCGCCTTGTGGGTGGCTTTACAAGGAAACAAAAGAAAACCCGCCCATTTTGAGGGTTCCCTGTTTTGACACAAACCCACATTGTCAAACTCATAAAGGATCAAGTACTTGGCGGTGTCCAAACGCCACAAGAACGCAAGCTTGATAAGCTAACCAATTAGCAGGATGCAATCCCTTGTTCTGTTCTGCGTGTGTACTTGTGCTTGTGGTTCTGTGGTTTGTGTTCACGAGTATGTGTGTGCGTTTGTGTGTGTGTGTGTGTCCGTTTGTTTGTGTTTGTGTTTGCGGTGTTATGTGTTTCTATATTCGCATGTGTCATCGCCTGGGGTTGTGTGACATCGTAGTGGCGCTTGCATGCTTGTTTGTGTTTGTGAGTTGCTTTATTATCTTTACGCTTGCATTGGTGCGTCTAGCTGCTGCAACTGTGTGCTTGTGCTTGTCCTTGTGTGCTTGCGCTTGTGTATGTGTGTGGCGTCGTATGCGTGCTCGTGTGCTTGCATGGTTGTGTTTGTGTATGAGTTTGTGTGTTTGTGCGTGTTTTTGTGCTTGTGCCAGTGTATGTGTTTGTGTGTGTGTGCCTGTGTTTGTGTTTGTGTGCTTGTGCGCTTGTGCGCTTGTGCGCTTGTGCGCTTGTGTGTTTGTGCGTTTGTGTGTGTGTTTGTGCGTTTGCGTTTTTGTGGGCTTGCATGTTTGTGTGTGTGTGTGGGGTGTGTGTGTGTGTGTGGGTGGGTGGGTGGGTGGGTGGGTGGGTGGGTGGGTGGGTGTGGGTGTGTGTGGGTGTGTGTGGGTGTGTGTGGGTGGG